CCCCCCCCGTTACCCTGCTCTCCCTGAGGGTGACGGCATCCCCCTTTCTGCTTTCTCTCCCCAGCAGAGCCAGTGGCAACCACAACTCCAGCAGCTGAGGGACATGGGCATCCACGACGACGATCTCAGTCTCCGGGCCCTGCAGGCCACCGGCGGGGACATCCAGGCCGCTCTGGAGCTCATCTTTGCGGGAGGAGCCCCCTAACACGCTCTTGGCTTTTTTTCGAGGGGGGCCAGGCCACGGACACCGGGTGGTGGTTTTTATTTCGCGGCGTCTTGATCTGTGCGACCCGGCTCCGCCTTTGGATTCTCGCTTGCCGTTGGAGCCCGTCATCTCCCGTGCATGATCTTCCCCTTCTGCCTTTTTCTGGTCTGAACGGAGCCCGCGGCAGACTGCAAGAAACCGCCAATGTTGAGCACTGACCCCCCAGAATTACGTTTTTGCACGAGGGGACCTTGTGTGGCAGCTACAATGGGCGGAAAGGTGACACGGACCCAGGTGCTGTAAGCTAGTACCCCGCAGTGCTCGTCGGTTCCGAGGAGTTCCTCTTTTGGCTGAGCCGGCAAACGTCTCCCTCCTCTGAACCCACCATTCCCTTCCTGCCGTACTCCCAGTCTCCGTCTGGGCTTGCGTGACCGTACAAGGTTTCATTAAAAGCTCTCCTTCTCCAGTTTTTGTCCAGTTTTTCTTAAGGATTTGAGACAGTGATGCTCTGCTGTAGCTAAGCAAGGCCATCTCTAGGTGTACTAAAATATTGGGTTTCTCAGCCTGGTGGCTTTAGACAGCAGCACCACAACCAATCTTTTTGGGGGGAGAAAAGATTGGATTTATACCCCACCCTTCGCTACCCGAAGGACTCTCAGAGTGGCTTAGTCTGCTTCCCCTCCCCACAACCGTTCTCTTTGAGAACTGTTCTCGGGAGAACTTGTGACTGATCCAAGGTCACACCAGCAGCTGCATGCGGAGGAGGAGGGGTATCAAGCCCGGTTCTCCCAGAATAGAGTCTGCACCACAGCTCCTACCAAGTGTTTTTTTAGGAACATGGCTTTAGAGAGGAGGAGAAGAGATTGGATTTATAGCGCGTCCTTCACTACCCAAAGGAGTTTCAGTGCGGCTTACAATCCCCTTCCTCTCCCCATAACAGACACCCTGTGAGGGAGGTGGGGCTGAGAGAGCTCTTTTGAGGACTGCTCCTGAGAGAACAGCTCTGAGAAAACTTGGGACTGACCCAAGGTCACACCAGCAGCTGCAAGTGGAGGATTGGGGAATCAGACCCGGTTCTCCCAGATTAGAGTCCGCACTCCTAACCGCTACACCAAACTGACTCTGCTAGGCATGCAGAAGGTCCCAGGAGTGGGGAATCAAACCCGCTTCTCCCAGATTAGAGTCCGCACTGCTAACCACTACACTACAAGGATCTCTACTGTGTGACTGAAGGTAAGGTGGAGCAACCGTTTTGTGGCTATGCCCACCATTCAGGGTCAGAGTTTCAAGGTGCCCGCAATCTCAAAAAGGTTGGGGATCCCTGGGTTAGACAAAACCTTGGTTCATCAAATCCCCACATACCCATGAAAATTGACTGTTACCTGCTTATAGACTCGAGGACAAATGAGGGCAGGGTTATATCACCCTGTACTTCTTGGGGGAAGGATGAGATTAAAAATGAATTAGTCACTCTGGTGCAGCTTTAATGTGCTCTACTTGATAACATCTACCTCACAAGGCTGTTGTGAGAAAACAGGGAACACCAAATCACACATGTTGCCCTAAGCCCTTTCTTACACGCCCAGGGACATGCTGATCATCACTTTGTGGTCGGGAAGCAATTTTTCTCCAGGCCAGTTTGGGGATCCTGGAGGGTTGTTTTTTTTTGCCATCTTCTGGGCATGGAATAGGGGTCACTGGGTGTGTGTGTGTGGGGGGGGAGGTATTTGTGAATTTCCTGCACTGGTTGGACCAGATGGCCCTAGAGGTCCCTTCCAGCTCTATCATTCTCAGCTTTTTTTGGAGGGACAGCAGGGGAAACTGGTCATAGATAAAGAGAACAGAAATGGTGAGGGTAACTGGGAAGAATATTTTGAGCCAGCAGGGGCCGCCCTTGCAGCAGTGTTGAATTTCGGTCCTGGCAGAATGCAAGACAGACAAGGGGGCCTCCGCAATATGTACCGGTTAAGCAAGCAAATTCAGGCACGTCTCCATCACTTCCTCTCAGAAACAAAGATTCAGTACTAATCTTCCAGCTTCTGAGTTTTCATTGGTCATAATGGGGGTTTTTTAAGTAGAAAAACAAATTCAGAAAGGGGGGGGAACTTAATACTGTAACAGTATTATACAATAACAAAAAGGGGGACCTGCGATACCCACGGGGGGGGGGAAGAAGCTCCATGGGAGGAGAAGGAAGCAGCCGCAGTTGAGCCTTCTCCCCCGTCCCTGGCACCCACGGCGAGGCCTGTACCCCTCCAAGCGTTCTCCCTCCCCCCTCCCCTAGAGGTGCAACGAGGCCTGGTCGGCCCGCTGAACTTTCTCCACCCCCTTCCCCGTGGCAGTGGCGAGTCCTGAACTCGGCCCCCCAAGGTTTCTCCCTAAGTGCCCCCGATGTGCGGATTTAGATATCCGCAAACGGGGCAACTTGGCAATTAGATATATAGATGGTATTTCCTTTGGAACCCTGGCAAAGATGGGCCCCAGACATTCTTTCACAAGCATCTTTCGTCACAATGTTTACAAGCACTCGTTGAAAAACAAAGTAATTAGCCCTGACATTTGTCTTCAATTCAAAGGAGTTGATTCGCCAAGTCCTCGAACGCTCAAAACTGCCCGTGAGAGAACAGCTCTGAGAGAACTTGTCCCTGGCCCAAGGTCACACCAGCAGCTGCATGTGGATGAGCGGGGAAATCACACCCAGTTCTCCCAGATTAGAGTCCGCGCTCCTAACCACGACCCTCGGTTTGTCAGACCTTAAGCAAGGCTGTTAACGGCAGGACATTGCGTGCGTCTAAAGCGCTCACAGTCCCACACACAGCATATGTGCACTCGGGTCTCGAACTGCCGAACTACAGCCCTTCCGGTCTGCAGCTCAGCGTCTTAACCTCTGAGCCACCGCGGCCCCCATAAATTCATAGGGCCACCATAATTCAAAAAGTTATTTGATGGCTCATAACATGCACACAAAGTTCATTGAAGTCTGTAGAATGCCGTCAAAGTTCCACTCCCAGTGTGGTATTCTGGAAAAAAGCAAAGCAAAACAAGGTGGTAATGAAACTGCAGAGCGGTCGGGTTAGAACGGATAAAAGGAAGTACTTCTTCACCCAAAGAGTGATTAACACATGGAATTCACTGCCACAGGAAGTGGTGGGTGCTACAAGCATGGACGGCTTCAAAAGGGAATTAGATAAGCATATGGAGCAGAGGTCCATCAGTGGCTATTAGCCACAAGGTATAGCTAGGGGCTCTGGGGCAAGTGATGCTCTGTCTTCTTGGTGCTTGGGGGGGGGGTCAACAGTGGGAGGGCTTCTAATGTCCTGGCCCCACTGCTGGACCTCCTGATGGCACTGGTATTTCTGGCCACTGTGTGACACAGAGTGTTGGACTGGATGGGCCTTTGGCCTGATCCAACATTGGCGTCTCTTATGTTCTTATGTTCTTATTAATTCGATCATTCAGTGTTTGTTATGGGTAGGAAAACTCTTAAAAGTTCTCATATAGTATGACCTCATGTGAACCCAGTCAAGCAATTTAAAATGTTTTTAGGAAAGGAAGAAATAGCTTGGCTGAGTAAATTGCGGTTCTTCTGGCGAAGAAACCAAACACCTCTCTGGAAATTTGGAAGGGTGTTGTGAAACTGGGGACTTGTTCATGCCAAAATTCATGGCGGCTAGTGCTTTTAGCTGTTCTCGAACCCAGAACTCAAACCTGGAAAGACTACCTCTGAGCATGTTCTGAATGCTATATTCCTTAACAGTGTGAGTCTTCGGCTGGCCACACATCTGGGTTTAGGAAGCACTTTCATGTCAGGCTGAGATCACACACACTAACGAATCCACTTTCAATGCATTTTCACATTGGATTTTGCCAGTTCACACAGTAAGATCCAGTTGGGAAGTGGATTGAGAGTGGGTGATTTAGTGTGTGTGACCACAGTCTCAGACAGGATAGCTTTTAAGCAGGATTTTACCCGTGTGTGTGTTTTTAAATAAATCACGGGGAAAGAGAAGAAGGATCTTTAGAAACTCGTAGGTCAGGTTTGAAAGACTGATGCTAACAGGCCTTTCTTTGTGTTGTGTGTATTCCCCCCCACCCACCTAAAACTGCTGGCTTATATTCTCCGTCCGCAGCATTGCACAAAATACGTTTTTCCACCCAAACTGTTAATTTTCAGGTCCGGAAATAACTGCCCAAAGGGGCCTAAAATTAACATCTGTGCAATTGCGATTTCTGTGTTTACGCCAGAGCAGGGCTGCCATCCGAAGAACACTTTCCTGGGAGTAAACCCCACTGAATAAAATAGGATTTACTTCTGAGGAGAACTGCTTTGGCTTGCGCTCAGCCCGGCAAAAAGGCCTGAGGCCGGTTCAGGAGTCATAGGCCCTTCGCTCCGTAAACAGACTATCTGTAGTCTAAACTTCCAGCTCTGTGACAGGCACTGTCTTCACTAGAAATGACATGGATAGCATACACAGTGATAAATACAGACGCATTGGGTGGTGTTCCAGACTTTGAGACACCGCTTCCCGCACGCACGAAGCTTTTGAGAGGACCATTTCCAGGACATCCTCAATAAATGACCCCGAGGGCTGAATCGGAGAATAGATAATGACAGGTGAAGGGGAAAAACACCATTCACAGATTCAGTTGCCTCCTTAACCCTGGCCAAAAAGGGAGTTTTATTGGAAGGAGTTGAGCTTCCGTAAGCGAAATTTTTGCTGCTGGAGTCTGAAACATCTGGCGAGCCAGCTACATAACACCCCTCCCCTCTAAGTTAGCACACAATTCGTTGGGGTGCATACGTACCCTTTGGGAACGGCAGAGTTCCCCAGCTGGCGAGACAGGGCCTGTCCATGTCCACAGCGGCGTTAGAAGCCATAGCGCTCGAACGCTTGGGGTCTGGAACAGTGTTAGTTCTGAAGGTTTCCCGCGTTCAGTATGGAGTGTCGAGGGCGCTATTGCCTCAGACCTGCTCGTATATTGGAGCGCATTGCAAGTTGCCTCCGACCCAATAGAAGACTGGGGAGCGTTGCAAGTTGCCTCCGACCCAATAGTAGACAGGGGCTGAAGTGTTCAGTGCTGAAAGAAAAGCCATTGAGCCAACAGGATAGCTCTCTAAATTGCAAGCTGTCAACCACTGTGGTGGCTCAAGTGGTTAAGACGCTGAACTGCAGGCTGTGGAAGGTCAGTAGTTCAGCAGTTTGAGACCCGGGTGCCGCATGACGGAGTGAGCTCCCATCTCTAGTTCCAGCTCCTGCCAACCTAGCAGTTCGAAAGCAAGAAATTGCAAGTAGATAAATAGGGACCACTTCGGTGGGAAGGTAACAGCGTTCCGTGCGCCTTGGTGTTTAGTCACGCCGGCCACATGACCACGGAAACGTCTTCGGACAGCGCTGGCTCTTCGGCTTTGAAACGGAGATGAGCACCGCAACCCTAGAGTCGGATTCGACTGGCTTTTGA